GTGGGGACAGTGAGTGTTAATCTCAAGATTAGAACTCATTCCTCGGGACTCTTGATTCAATGCTTTTTTCCACTGCTCAAAGAAGTTTCCAAAGTTCTTTCTAACTCTAAGATACTATGTAATGTTTTTTTTTTTTTATTGCTCTTAAAAGGATATTTGATGAGGACAGTCCAATAGGGCATGATTAAAGGGAGTGTATTTAAAGGAGGTTGGGAGAGGGATCTAAATGTGACCAAGAAACACTATTTATGTGACTTTGGGCAAGTCACTTTCCATCCCTAGGCCTTGGTTTTTTCCTCTGTGAAAGGAGGATGTTCTTTAAATGCCTGCTAGCTCTAGCACTGTATGTTTCCAAGGTGAAGATACACTAGAAGAAGGACTTAAGCTTCTTCTTCTGTTTCAGTCTTTGTGGTGAGGTTCCTGCTTTGTCAAGTCAACAAACATTTAAGTGCCTGCTATGTGCCAGGCACTGCGCTAAGAACCTGGGGATATAAAAAAAAGTGAAAAAAAGTCCCTGTATCCCACCCTCCCTCAAGAGCTCACATTCTAATAGGGGGGAAACCTAGCATTCATATAGAGCTTTAAGGCTGGCAAAGAGCTTTACTTGTATAATCTCATCTGATTCTCATAAATCAGTGCTATTATCATCCTCATTTTATTGATGAGGAAACTGAGGCTGAGAGAGGTCAAGTGACTTGCCGAGGGTCACACATCTAAGTGTCTGAGGCAGGATTTGAACTCAGATCTTCCTAACTCCAAGTCCAACACTATCTGCTGCACCACCTTGTCTCTCCATTTTACCTGTTGTGAGGTTGAGGTGGGAGAGTGGTTCAGGAGGGGGAGATGGGGTGGGGATCAAGACTGAGGTTTAGCTCCTGACCCTTTCAATACCTTGATAGGTACTTAATACCTAATTCCTTTTCTGCTCTTTCTCTGAACAGACAAATGGTCCTGTGAGAGGGGCAGTAGAAGGGTAGTCAGCAAGGTGGCATAATTTCCCAGGAAGCATGGAAAATGAAGATATGTTGAGGTTTTAGGATACTCAGCTAGGTAGGCAGCTAAGTGGTGCAGTGGATAGAGTGCCAGGCCTTCAGGGGTGGGGAACCTGTGGCCTCGAGGCCACATGTGGCCCTCTAGGTCCTCAAGTGTGGCCCTTTGACTGAATCCAAACTTCACAGAACAAATCCCCTCAATAGAAGGATTTGTTCGTAAAACTTGGACTCAATCAAAAGTCTGCACCTGAAGACCTAGAAGGCCACATGTGGCCTTGAGGCCACAGGTTCCCCACCCCTGCCTTAGACACTTATTTGCTGTGTGACCCTGGGCAAGTCATTTAACCCCATTTGCCTTTGTTTCCTCATCTGTAAAATAATCTAGAGAAAGAAATGGCAAAGCATTCCAGTGTCTTTGCCAAGAAAACCCCAAATGGGCTCATGAAAAGTCAACTGAAATGACTGAACAACAATAAACAATAGGATCCCCAGAGAAGCAGAAATTGCCTGGCTACGCTTATAGCGCCCGGCACATAGTAGGTGCTCAATAGATACTTGCTGATTGAGTGATAGAAGTAAACAGAAGCTGACTGACCATTTTCCTGAGATATTGTGGAGAGAATTCCTACATCGGGTAATCCAGAGAGCGAAGGCCCTATGGACACTAACATTCTGAATCCCTTACACACCCCAGACCCCCTAAATGTTTCATCAGCCCTCTAGGAGGACTCTGAGGGAGGGGAGGGGGGAAGCCACTTGTCTAAACTAAATAAAGGTGTTACCCTGGAGAATAGGGGAGGGGAGGGTCTCACCAACTGCTGCGACAGCCAGCGTAGACATCAGGAAATACTTGTGGAGACAGCCAGACTTGGTGTTAACCCCTTCCCATTAATTAGAGAGGACCAAACCTCAAACACACATTAATGAAAGGTCTCCTTAGCCTGTCTCCTCACCCACTAAGCTCATTCCCTAAATCTACAGAAAGGAAGGAGCCAGAGGACTAATCTGATGTGTATACTGTCTCCTCAAAGTGTCAGCAGGGATGGAAGTTTCAGATGTCGTAGTATCAACTTTTCTGCCCGTGAAATTTTATCTTTCTTGAGTCATCATGACATTTTCCAGGTCCGCAGAAAGAGGTCTGGTACACAGGGGTGGAGATGAGAAATCTCAGGCTGTGCTCTCAGTGAGGAGATTCAGGCTTTTAGAATTAAAATTCCCCCCCACCCATCACTCCCTCCATCCCCTTCCCCACCTCCCCCAACCTGAAAAGATCTAGGATGGTATATCCTTGCCTAGAGGCAGGAGAATGGAACTAGTGAATCCTGGTGGTTTCTGCCAAGTCCTAAAATTAGATCTCAAC